TATCGTGATTATTACCATATAATTAAGGAGGGACAACCCACGTATTATTTTGTCTCGTCATTTTAGTATTATTAACGCATTTGTAGTTTGTCGCTTTCATTATCTCATTGTTAGTTAATACAATAAAAGATTTTATTTTGAAAGTACGTTGTTATTAAACTCTGGTAAATAATACCAAATGATTAAGCATAATAATAAATTTAAAGTTATACTTATAATATTAATTTATTGATAATATATATAGATAGATATTAAGTGAAAATTAAGCAATAAAATATAAAATAAAGTAAAATTAATACAAATATTTAAAATCATATTTGCTTTAAAAAAAATAATTGTATTATTTGTTCACGTGTAAACACATAATTATAATTCAGAACAATAAAAAAATATATAAAATAAATTAATAATTAAAACTAAATATATAAAGTTATAATTTATTATCAAATAATTAATACATGCATTTCCATATATATTAATATTACAAAACTTCATTCCAGAGTTAACAAATTACATTAATTTATATTATCCAAACATTACAAAACCCTTTTTTAAAAAAAAAAGTCTAACTCAATTAAAAGATAAGTTGTGGAAAAAATTATAAAAAAAATCATAAAAAATTTAAAATATAGACAGTTAATTTTTTAATGAACAAAGACAAAATTATATATAAAAAAAAGGTGAAAGAAAAATAGAAATGGAGTAGATAATGAAGAAGATAATTATAATTTTGAAACTCATGCTGAAAAAGGAAAGTGAAAGATTAGATGATTTTACTCCTAAAAATATATATGATTAAAGTCAAGGGACGAAAGATAATTATAAATTAAAAAAAAGTCCTACTAAATTATTCGTATAGATTTTTCAAAGATAAATATTATAAATACTTTTCTTCGTCAAATCACAATAAAAAAATTACCTAATAGATTCATTAAAAACGATAGATTGAATTTGTTTTTAAAATTAAATATCTTAAGGAAGTTTATAAGATTGAAAAGTGATAGATCAATCAACTCTCAGTTATATAAAATATATATATATATATATATATATATATATATATATATATATATTTTTTTTTTAAATACTTTTCCCCCTAAAGTATATGCAATTATAAAACAATGTTAATGATTCCAATATTAATTGCTTTAGTTGAAAGGATTTTTCAAAAACAAAATTTAATAAAAATTTACGTAAAATCAACCATGTCTAAACAAAATATTAAAATATTAGTTTTATTGTATATTATAAAGGAATACTAAATGAAATTTAATTACTACACTTGATACTGTATATAAATATTATGCAGACCATGAATTCGTCACGATAAAATTACATTGTCATATAGTAAAAAATTTATCTTTTCATTACTATTTATCATTAAGGCTTTGTTTGGATGGAGTGATTTGAGAGAGTGGAAATGAGAGAGTGGAAAAGGAGGGATTTGAAGAGAAATGGAGATGAATGTAAAGTGAAAGGAAAATTTATGGGAAATTATGAATGATTTGATTGATATGAGATATAAAAATTATAATTTTATGTTGATTATTTAAGAAAATTACCATTTTACCCTTTGTATAAAATAAGGTTCAATTCAAATGATTATAATTTTGAGAATATATAATTTTGATAGAAAATTATATATATATATATATATATATATATATATATTCTAAAATATATATTCCACAATATTACTAAAATTTATATATATATTATAGAAATGAAAATAAATTATATTTGAGAATATATAATTTTGATAGAAAATTATATATATATATATATATTCTAAAATATAATTTCACATTTTGAATTCGAAAGGTTTTCTCTAATAACAAATTAAAAAACATAATATTCAAAAAAAATATTTTAAGATTTTCGGGTTGTATTTCAGCTCGAGCGATTACACTCTCGCTCGAGCGAAATACCATCCTGATCGATCATAATTTGAAATGATCGATCATAATTTGAAATGATCGATCATAATTGGAGGATATCATAGCGGTTCCCCTGTAACCGCTATTTAAAGTATATATTAGATAGCGGTTATGGTTTAACCGCTATTACAAGTTATATTTCGCTTGAGCGACATTAAACTCGCTCGAGCGAAGACACCTGCACATAATTATTATCCTCGGGTTGTTTTTCGCTTGAGCGAAACTGATCTCGCTCGAGCGACTAGCAAAGTATGATCTCGCTCGATTTATTTTAATCGATTAAAACACGTTTTAATCGATTAAAACCACTTTGGAAGTTAGGATGATCGATCAGAATGTAATTATGACCGATCGAGTTGGTTATGATCGATCGAATTGAATTATGACCGATCAGACTTATTTCAATCGATTAAAACAAATTTCAATCGATTAAAATGACTTGAAAATTTTTGTACTGAGTTTCAATCGATTAAAACGAATTTCAATCGATTAAAATGACTTAGAAAAATTTCATGCGGTTTTTAATCGATTAAAACTTCTTTGTATCAGCTTAAAATAACTTGAAAAGTGTTATAAGAAAGTTTTAAACTGAATCAATCGATTAAACCGCGAATCAATCGATTAAATCACTCTTAGAAAATGTTTGTAAAAAGTTTTAACTGATAAAAACTTGGTCGTATCAGCTAAAAGGGTTGAAAGGACAAGAACGCATTAATGGGTTGAAATGACTTTTAACAGATTATAACGGCTATTTCAACAGATTAAAACAAACTTTGAACAGATTAATTAATGCAGTTTTTTCTGAAAACTCTTTTATAAACGAAATTGCTTGGAACTTTTATCATATCGGCTTTTAAAAAACAAAGCAATCAATTTAAGCAACTCGTTAGCATCCTTTTTCCAAGAAAGAATTACAACTGGAAGTTGGTTCTTGGTGGAAAGGTTGAGTGCAAGAACATGAACAACTGGGAGAGACGAAGATGTCCCATATATCTGACTCCGAATGTTGAAATGTTGATGATCGTCCATCACATTGATGATCGTCCCACTGCTGATTGGATTGAACTGAAAAAAGCGGAGCTTAGGTAGGCTACAACAACTCTCAAAGCGTGAGCTCATAAGCCGTATTTCGCTCGAGCGACTATATCTCGCTCGAGCGAAATACGATCCTGATCGATCATAAGTTGAAATGATCGATCATAATTGGAGGATATAATAGCGGTTCCTCTCTAACCGCTATCTAAAGTGTATATTAGATAGCGGTTCCAGTGGAACCGCTATCATATACAATCATATTTTAATTTCTTGAGTCTCGGGTTGTGTTTCGCTAGAGCGACTATATCTCGCTCGAGCGAAATATGATTCTGATCGATTAGATTTATGAAATGATCGATCGTAATTGGAGGATCTAATAGCGGTTCCCTGTAACCGCTATCTAAAGTGATATATATAATAGCTGTTAAGATTTAACCGCTATTAGAAGTGATATATAATAGCGGTTATGTTTTAACCGCTATTATAAGTGTTAGTTATAATAGCGGTTAAGATTTAACCGCTATCATATATCATGGTAGAATCGCGACTTTTCATTACTTTCATCTCTTTTCTTCGCACCTCAACGAAGAAACTCTCTCTCTCATCTCCCCTTTTCCTCGCCTCGCATTTCGTCACAAATCAGCTTCAACCAAACGTGTGTGAATGTCGTGTTTCTGTCTTCGTGAATAGTATTTCGTCGCAAATCAGTTCAAACAAACACAGCATAAAAGCTTAAACATGTGAACCTTTTGTTCATATTCTCATTTCTTACCAAATAATGGAAACACAAATCACCTCACATATTTTCCCCCCTCTCCAACAGTACATAAAATAGAAGAAAAAAAAATCACAAAAAAGGAAGGGAAAAAAAAAACACGAGAGTCAATCAAATGATGTCAAGTGCATTTATTAGAAGGCAAATGTTAATAAAGCTACCTTGATAAATTGATAGCTTAAAATTATTAATTATAAAAATATAAACAGATTATTAGCATTAATATCATGTTTAAATATTTGTATTTTAATTCTTTAGCTAATCGTCAAACACTGTGACGCGTTTTGTAGTAAAAATCGTAGTCAAAGTAATTTAATTATGCGTTAAAAGAAAATTAAAAATTGTAATAAGTGGAATAATATTAACTCCTCGTGAGATTGACCTCGTTGTGCTATGTATGAAGTTATTTCCTTTCTATACTCTTTAAGAAAACAGTATCTTTTATTTGAAATGGTAAAAATATTTGGTTAATGTTCATTTTAAGCATTGGGGGGATTGAAATTACGGAACCTTCTTAAATGGTAAATGAAGTTTGCAGAGGATGAAAAGGGGAAAGTTGGAACTGGTTTTGATCATTATTGTTTGTTGAAGTTGAAATCACATGAGAGAAAGCAAAGGCTGTTAACTTTTGAGCTGAAACAATACCCTTAAAACATGGAGGAGAAGAACCAACAACAAACAAACTGGTTCCACACAAAAACATGTCTCTTACGTTATCACCTCACGTTGTAAATTGTTATTTTCCAAATCTATAACGCGAAAGTGAAAAATAATAATAACAATCATTTATGAACTGCCATTGGAAAATGGTTCTCTCTTCTTACTTCTTACTACTTCTCAGCCCCACCTGGGGCAGCACGTGCTGCATGATAGACACTGTCATGTGACCTTCTCTGCTCCTTTTTCATCCCTTCTCCTCACTCTCTCTCTTCTTTTTCACACTGGATTCATTTTACTTACTTACCTTTTGGGTTTTGGCCTTTTCGTCTCTCTCTTTCTATCTCTCTCTTTTCTGTGTTTCAGCCGCTGCAGCAAGAAAGAGTAGCAGAGACTCAATCACTTGCTACATTTTCGGTTTATCATTTCAAACTCAAACCATTGAACCATCACTCTTTCTGCTCCTGCTCACCTATTACATCACGCCCCCTATGCCAATCTAGTGTGGTTGTAATTATTTTTCAACCTTTTTTCTATGTGGACACCCCACTTATTATTCCATAGCCATATTAATTAATCATTTCACAATCATATCCATGGGTTGCCTACACTCCAAAACCGCTCATCTTCACTCTCCTGAAGACCCTCCCACTGCCTTGCCAGACTCCAAAAAACCCGATCCAGGTCCTCCCTTAACTCTTTTAACCTTTTTCTCTGCGTTTTCCTCTTGGGATTTTTACACCCTTTTGTTTTTTATTTTGTGTTGAAATGTATGTTTATTATTTTTTGACAAAATCTTGTATTGATGGGTTTTGAAGGTCAATGGGGATAGTTTTTGTCGTTTCTGTTTTGGTGTTAGTTTGAGAAAGTTTGGGTTTTTAGTTTGTTTTGTTTTTAAGTTGTTAATTTATTTTTTGGTTTTGATTTTGAAGGGAATGGTGGGGATGATGTTGATCAAGAGGGTCAGGTCCCAGCATTCAAAGAGTACGGTCTGATTGAACTTCGAAGGGCCACAAATGAGTTCAGCACAGATTACATTGTTTCTGAGAGTGGGGAGAAAGCCCCTAATGTGGTCTACAGAGGGAAGCTTGAGAACAATCGGTTAGTTGCTGTGAAGCGCTTCTCTAAACTGTCTTGGCCTGATGCTCAACAGTTCATGGTGAGTGGAATGAGCAACTTTTATTAGCCCTCAATATGGTTGCTGATTGGGGGGAAAAGGACAATATTAGTTGTATTTTGGAACACACTGTAAATTTTTGTGGATTCTAATGTACATTTTCGGGGTTTGACTGGGAGATAAATTTTTGGATTCTCTAGAATTTAAAGATTTTCTTCCTTTATGCATTTTTTTCACATGATATTTAAACTGGCAATGCAAGCTATTATTAATGGTTTTGATTGGTCAGGCAGAGGCAGCTGGAGTTGGGAAAGTGAGGCACAAGAGACTGGTGAATCTAATTGGTTGTTGTGCTGAGGGAGATGAAAGGCTCTTGGTAGCTGAGTACATGTCAAATGATACTTTGTCCAAACATCTCTTTCATTGTACTTCTCTTTTATCTTTACATTCAACTTTGTTAGCAGTCATTAAAGCTCTATATTAATTATAGTACTTTTTCCCTCTCTTGTCATTCTCCTTGTTGACTACCTGTCTTTAGATCTGGTGGGGAGTCCCTGCTTTCATTTCTCGAATGACAGAGCTACCTCTCTTAAACTTTTACCACATTTGTGTTAGTTTGCTGGAGCCGTGAACAGCGTATTATAAGAAGTTATAATATGCTTTTACTCAGACAGAAACGATACATTTATTTAACTGTTGGCCATTATAAGTTATACGATTCTCAAGCTTTTTTAAGTGTATGCTGTTTTCTTGGAGTGAATTGAACACTTGAAAAATGAGATTGCATTTGAGCACAATAAAATCTAGATATTGTCAGTTTCCACCTTTCCATATTCACCCAAACCAAGCATAGGTCAACTGGACAAGTCCTTTTTTCGTATCTCAATTTTGGTGTCTTTGGTCTTATCTGATTTAGTAGTATTATTAGTTGCAATCTTGTTTTTCCAATTTGCTAGTTATTTTCTGTATGGTGTCAACTATGACAGACATTCTCTCTCTAAAAAAAACTATAAAATGCCTGGATATTGGGCCTTTTTGATGCTTATAGTTGAGTGCCAAAGAGATTTTGGCCTGTGGATTTTTTTATTCTTTTTTATTTGATTAGTTAAGCAAATCTGACCAACATCTCTGCATATCTAACTAAGAAACCCCTCTGCAAGGGACATTGCGGCATTAGCTGAACACCATAAAAAAAGCAAAGAACTTCACCCCAAAGTAGAATTGGCATGAAAAAATCCTTTTTAGGTCTGGTATTCTTCTCCACTATTAGCTAAATAACTGCATATATTTCAAATCGTAACAGAGTCTTAACAATAAATATACGATGAAAATTTTCAAACTTTCTAGTCAAATTCAATGTTAATTCCTTTATCTTTGTAGAAAGAGTAGCATTTTATTGCCTCATTTCTTAATCCTGTTCTATCTTAGTATCTGTTTCACCAGTCAGCGGTAGTTTGATTATTAATTTAATTATTTTGTTGTTGTTGAATTCTGTGATTCTGTCACAGGGGACAAGCAACCATTACCATGGGAAATGCGTGTAAGAGTTGCATACCATGTTGCCCAGGCACTAGATCATTGCAGCTTGGAAAACCGGAAAATATATCATGATCTAAATGCATATAGGATTCTTTTTGATGAGGTATGATTATGCATCTAACATTACGAACTCATTGTTTTGTAAACCATGTCACCATATTTTGGTGTTCGTGGTGAAATATTTTATGCTTGATGCAGTTTCCTGTATGCTTGTTGTTTGAATTTGATACTTTACTGTTGTCTTCTTCACATCATAGGTGCCATTATATTCATACGCTTGCACGCAAAGAATGTTAAACGCCATGAACAGCATTTGTTCCTTAATACATGCCAAAATTAGACGGTGAAATTTGTTACTAATTTATTCACTTCTGTCAGGATGGTGATCCCCGCCTATCTAGTTTTGGGCTTATGAAAAATAGTCGAGACGGGAAGAGCTACAGTACTAATTTAGCTTACACTCCACCTGAATTTTTGCGAACAGGTATTATATTTTTCTGACATGTCTTTTTCTGGACAACTGATGATGGTTGAAACTTTTACTTGTGTTTCTTGTGGAATTCTGAACAAGGATGAGCATGAATTATACACATTTGATGGCATGGGCTTATTATGTACATACACAATGAATTGTAGAGCAGAATTTTGCTTTTGTCAATGTGCTCTTTAGAGTCTACAAAGACTAAAAATGTTTTGCTGGATTCATGGATTGCTTCAGAACTGTGTTACCAGAAGTCTTGCTGCTAAGTGTAATTAATGACAATACGGTACTCTAATAACACCTGCAGGAAGGATAATCCCGGAGAGTGTGATCTACAGTTATGGAACTGTTCTTCTGGATCTTTTAAGTGGCAAGCATATTCCCCCAAGCCATGTATGTTTCAATTCTAATTCTCTGCATTCGTTTAAGAATGTTCTTTATTCTGCTTTATTATACGCCAAGCATTATATATTACCCTTCATTTTCTGGACTCTATTGATGTTTGATATGAATTATATGATCTATCCAACTCGTGCGAGTGTTGCCTTATGACATAATGGATAATAACTTATGCACTGCACATAAGCTGGTGAAGAGTTATTATCTCTGCGCATGGTTCTGGATATTAAGGTTGCTTTCTGGTCGTTGAAGTTGTGTTTACATAGCATTAAAAATGTATGATTCATATAATTATAATTTGAAATCATTTGATGTTGTGACTTGATACATAAATGTCTACTCATGCTTCTTAGTTAAACCATATGAAGTTGAATATTATGGTGTATGTGATCAAGGGTGTGAAATTTGTTAATATGAATGATTTCGTTCTTCAGGCTTTGGACCTGATTAGAGGGAAAAATGTTTTGTTGTTGATGGACTCTTCTCTAGAAGGGCAATATGCAAACGATGATGCTACAAAGTTGGTTGAGCTTGCTTCAAAATGTCTTCAGTTTGAGGCTAGAGAACGACCTGAAATTAAGTTTCTTCTTACTTCCGTTACACCTCTTCAGAAGCAGAAAGAGGTTTTTTTCGTTTTAGCTTTCAATGTTGAGCTTCAGCTTACATTTGTTGTCCTTTAATCTCCATTTCAATTGTCTTAAACTTAATTTCCTGGTACCCCTTCTATTTCTTGTAAAATGTTTGTTCATCTTGCTGAATCCCTTCCCTCCTTCTACAGGTAGCATCTCATGTGTTAATGGGCCTAACTAAAAACACAGCAGTGCTACCAACCATGCTTTCTCCCCTTGGAAAGGCTTGTGCAAGGATGGATCTTACTGCAGTGCATGATATATTGTTAAAAACAGGTTATAAAGATGAAGAAGGTGCAGAAAATGAGGTATGTTAAAAATCAGATTTTGGCCTTCAATTCAGGTTTAATTAGTTACTACAAGCTAGTATCTGAGTGGGATGTGTGGATATGTAAACTAAGGTGTCGGATCATTTTACTGAAGTATGATTCATGTAGCCGATTTATTATACCTGTAATCATGGTTCATATTCCTGTTATGTAGTTCATTCACATTTGGATTCCTTGTCCGCATTCCTGCTCTAGTTTAAGCGGTTTAGGCAAGAGGTTTTGCCCGACATCGTGACAAAAAGATGAAAAAATATTTTAAGTTGTTCTTGGGTGGCTCATTGCCGTAAACCTGATGAGATTATATGTTACATGAGGTTTTATGTCACATTGAATGTCAATGGTCTGTGAGAACGGGATTAACGTATGTGTCTTGGAATCTGAGAAACACAAAATAAACACGCCATTAGTTACTGACATGAATGGGCTGCATTATAGTTGCATTGCATTGATGGATAAGGCTATCTCTGCTGCACGAAATTGTTTGTTTTACTTCTAACGCACAAAAAAGACTAAAATTGTAAATCTCACCTGGTAAACTCTGGTTGTCTTGCCAACTGTTTTTTATACATGCTCTTGTCTATTGACTAAAGATGTGATTTCAGCTTTCATTCCAAGAATGGACACAACAAGTGCAAGATATCTTGAATACAAAAAAGTTTGGGGATATTGCATTCAGAGACAAGGATTTCAAAAATGCTATTGAGTATTATTCTAAGGTATGTTCACTGTTTCATATTTTTTTACTGGTTTTGGCTGTCTCTATTATGTTCCTATTCTGAATGTCCTTTATTTCTTTGCATTAAACAGTTGGTGGTTATGATGTCTGTTTCTTCTGCTACTGTGTTTGCAAGGAGAGCTTTCTCCTACTTGATGAATGATCAAGCAGAACTTGCATTAAGGGATGCCATGCAGGCACAGGTCTGCATACCTGATTGGCCAACTGCATTCTACCTGCAGGCTCTTGCTCTCTCAAAGCTGGGAATGGAAACTGATGCACATGACATGCTCAATGATGGGGCTGCCTTTGAAGCAAAGAGGTCTAACAGCTGGCGTGGTTAATTTTCTTATTTGCAGTTCTTTGCTCACTAAACTAGCAGATTGGCATAAAAGAATATGCTATTTTGCCATAATTTGTACTTGCTAGAGTAGGATTATGTAGGGTGCTGGTTTAAGGGGCAAGCAAAAGAACTCTGGTATAAGATGTTCTCAAGGAATATTACAGTATAGATTTTCCCATACAAATGAATTCTGTAGAATTAATTTTCTCCATATGAAAATAACAATGTGTTTGGATGGGGAGTTTTGGGGGAGGAATTCAGGTTTTAAGTAGATTTTTTAAATGTCACGTATAAAATTGACTTTATATATATTAACTATAAAGAATTTTCATAATTATGAAAAATTTGTCGGCTATCTTTTTTAAGTAGAAAGAAGGGACTTCAAATAACCCTTTTCTGGTTTGCGTGAACTTCACAACCTCTCTCTCGTCCATTGTCTTTTTCTCCTTCACTTCCCGTCTCAGTTTCCAACTTCTCTACACCTCTCTGCGTCTTTGCACTTCTTATTCCCCCAAACTCTTATTTTTTCCTTCTTCAACTATCTCTTTTCTATCATGTCGTGAATGTTGGAATGTATTTGGGAGGGTTTAAAAAGAGTGGAGGAAATGTGGTGAATGAGAAAAGGGTATTTTGGGATTTTTAAAATACAAAATTTGGGGGTGGAAAGTTGAAAGGGGGTGTACATGTCATGGTCCATTTTTTGAAGACTTAAGGTATCATCCTCCTTAAAGCCTATGACATTTTTCAATAAATGTTCCATAAACTCGTTTCTAAGAATCAAACCTCTTACCAAAACATTATTAATGACACTATACAAAACTACCTCTGAATAATAGTTTAACTTTTAAAACATGATTCTTTCATAATATCTTAATTATGATTAATTAATACTTAATAGTATGTGCACTGAAAAATAGTTTCACTTTTAAAACATGATTCTTTCGGAATAACTTTTAAAATGTGATATTTTTTAATAATTTGGTCATTTATGTTTTGCATGGTTATTAAAATTGGACCGGTCGATTCAATCGATCATAATCAATCTAGAATTTTTTAAAAATTGGATAAATAATTAATCGATCAAGATAAATAAGTGAAATCACATGGATCAATAGGTCATTAAATTTTCACTTTTTTTTTCTAAAAGCTAAATAATGTCATTTTGTCCTATATTTTTTAGTTTAACATAAAGACACATAAACATGAAAAGATAAAGTTATTTTTTTGTCCGAGTGATGCTTCATTCTTATAATTATCATTGTCACTATCATCTACTACCTTTGATTGTTTACTTTCGACGTTGCCCTTGTTATCATTGTTGTCTATTATTATCATTTTTATAATCATTCATGAAAATATAATAACATGTAAAAATCACAATCTCTTAATTTCGAAATTAATTTGATGAGTGGACGATAAATTATCACTCGGGTTCCATAATCATGTTTAAAAATAAAATAAAATGTATAAAATTTGAAGTTAGATATAATGAAAGATATTGTGCAATTTTTTCTCCCTTAATTGTTTTCAGGTTAGATGTAATTTTTTCCCTTAAATATTTTTAAGTTAGTTATAGTTTTTTTTTTCTAATTATTTTTAAGTTAGTTGTAGTTTTTTTCCCCCAATTATTTTCAAGTTAGGTGTAACGATAATTTTTTTTCTCTAATTGCTTTATACCGTAAGTGTTTGATGATATGTTTATTCATCCTATATATTTTTTTGTGTATTATATAAATCATTCTTATTATTATATAATATTTTTTCAAATAACATTTATTATTATTATGTTGTGATAAATTTATTTTAAGTTCAATATATTATTATATTATTTAATTAAAATGGTTTAATTCTCAATTAAACCTCGGTTGAACCCTAAACTCATACTCGTTCACCCATTTGATGAGCGGTCTAATTTTAAGAATCATGATGTTTTGTTTGCTTTTACTAATTGTAGTAGAAAATTTGAAAAAGAGGATTTGTAAAGATATTTATTGGTTTGCTTTTGTTTATTTGAGTGGATTCGGAGTGATGGGGAAGTGAGTTCCCCACTCTCACAAATCCACTCAGTAACTGTGAGAGAGTGTGTGATTGAATAATAAATATCTCGAATTATCATTATTTTTTTTTAATATCATTTCACCAAAAATAATTTGGTTATTATACTAAAAATTTTGTTATTCAATTATCCTATATTCAATAAAATTAAATATAATAAATTCACTTAAATTCTTTCAAATCATCTATCTTTCCCTCGTCCAAACCCACAAATCTACTCAAATTCACTTCCTTGTTCCGACCCCAAACCAAAAATACTCCTTCTCTAATAAACACACTAATTAAAATATAAAATAATGATTTTTACAGGTTTTGATTAAAAGAGACATGATAAATTATTTTATAATTTAAATTTACTTTTAGTTTCTTAAATTTGAAGTTATTTTTTCTTTCAAATTTAAAATTAATCCTTTTAGTTTCTATTAATCCTTTTATTTTATCCCATACCCTTTAATTGGTATTATTAAAAAAATTATATAAATATTTTAAATTATTTCTCTCTTAGTGTATAAATAAACTATTTACATAAAAGTAAAATAAAACAATTTTAATTTAAGGAAATAGGTTTGTTAATAGTTATTTTTATAAAAAGTAATTTTGGGAAAAATCCAAAACATGCACGATTCTAACAAAGGCCTAAAAGCGTGTGACTGTTCCTTAAATTGAAAATCCCGAATCATAATCGCTCCCAAGCGATTCATTTTTACAAAGTCAGAATTTCGTTTCATTGGAAATCAAAGGGTCCTACTTCTACTCTCAAGCTTTCTTCCTATTTCTCATTAACTTCCAAGGTACGTATACGATCGTGTCCCATCCTTCTTTTCCGTTCAGACCCCATAAATTCAAGTTTCTAACTCTTCGCAATCTGTATTCTTGTCATCGATGGATTCGCCTCTTGTTGCTCGTACATAGATTCAGCTCATATTTCGGAGATTCTTTTCTCCCTGTTTTCTTCATCGTGTTTTCTCTCCGATTGGGGATTCTATAAAAGACATCAAGAACAGAACTCTTGTGTTTGTTTATATTGAACGAACTGGGAATAACATGTGCATGAGTGCGAAATTGACATTTTTTGTTGATTTCTTTCTTTGATTTTGGGGCTTCATGACCTGCTGCAGAAATCGAATGCAACCGGTCAGGTTGGCTCGATTTCAGGGCGGGGCGATGATTCAATTTACTAACTAAAAAAATGTTTGCGACGATTTTTCTTGTGAATTTCAAAGTGGCACTTTTAAAGTAACTTATGATTTAGATTATTTTGAGATTTGCTATGTTAACCGTAATTTGAATTTTGGTGCTAATGATAGTGATTAGTTATTTGGTTTAACTTCTGATAATCAAACATTAATTTCATGATGTGGCTACTTCCCCCCATCTTAAAAAAAAAAAAAAAAAAAAAAAAAGTGGATTCATGGTGCTAGGTATACGTAGAGTAAAAAACACTTATTGTTCACGTTTTTTTCTTTTGTTTCTGCATATTTCATTGTTATTGCATAATGTGATGTGATTGAATCACTGTTTCACTTTATGACGTGACTGAATCAATTGATTTGCAAAGACCTTTAATATTGCATATAGCCTAGAGCTCTATAAAAAAAAAAGAAACGCTATACAATGCTTAGTGAACGAAATTCACCGCCGAAGGGCTTTTAGGTTAAAAAAACTTATCTTTAACGGTTTCGATGTAACTATAGAAAGCACGTGCCTCTGAAAGCTAAACTGAATAATTTTAGGAGGTTTCTTTCGCTTTTTTATTTGGTGTACCCTTTATAATAAGCAGTGGATAATCATTTTTCCATGCGTATATTCATTTGAAATATAAACATATCAACTTATTTTCGTGTAGTTATATTTATTTTAATTGAATGGGATACATATGACCAAAATATCGATCACTGTTCGCTAATTATCAGGGGTATCCGTAGCCTCACAAAAGAAAGGGTACCAAAAGAATTATGCAATAATTCTAATATTAAAGTGTTACAATACGTGTTGGAATCTGTTATTGCTCGTGCAAATTTGAATGTTACTGGAGCTGTGTAGTTGGATAAGAAATGTTAAATTGGTTTCGATCATGAAGATGCATATGTATGAAATTTCTAAAAATTGAGTAATAGAAAGGGGGTATTATACTGAACCATGTGTGATCTGAGATGTTGAATGTTAAGAGTAGGATATATGCATTTTTTGTGTCAGGTCGAATGGTCACGATTTCTGAATTGGCAGAATTCACTAGATTAATTAGATTAGAAAAACAAATTTGGCTGATATTATCCATTACTTGAAGGGGTTAACTGATTAGTCATACTAGTGGAATCATTATGTCTACATTTGGAATGCTGGTCTTGCAAAAGATGTTTCTCTCCTAATTTTTCCTGATCTTGTGGCTTTTGATGCTTTTGGAAATATTTTAAAGACAGGTATGTGAGTGACTATAAGCAATTCAACAATTTTTTTGGTATTTTTGAAGTTTTTGTTAATTTTATCGTGAGTTCATCAAGTGACTTCAAACCTATAGTCGTGCTTGTGATGCTGATCATGTTTGACAGCTTGAGTTCTCTTATTGGGTCATCTTTATAAGTTATATCGATGTTTTAGTTTACTGTGCGAATAAATGTCCTTTAATGTGTGAAGACATTTATAGACCTATTGAAGACATATATTCATGCATGGTAGCAGTAATGGGGTGGAAGAAGTTAACTAACTACAAGTTAATAGGTCTTTATAGTTTAAACACAGTAGAAAAATCCAAACAGTAGACCTGATCTAGGGGTTAGTTTGAGGTAAACCTACCAGGTTGTATGGGTTGATCAAGTTTGACCAAACTCCGGTCAGCATGTCTGACCAACCCAGTCAAGAATCACCTGCTTTGACAACATACATTTAAAATATGATATCACATCATGAATTTAAAATATCTTATCCTTTGGGTTGGATGATCTCTGAGAATTTTGGTTTTGACTTGTAGGAAAAAAGAAAAGCCATATAGTTATATGGATAACAAATCACCGAGCAAGGGGTCCAAGGAGGTGGCACGTGAGTCTCTGATTGCTATCTCTAACTCCCTGCCTGAAAAGAGCCTGGATTCAAACTGTGTGTCTGAGAGCAAGAAATCAGATGGGGTTGCGATGTCAAACCGTGATAAAAATGACAAATTTAGGTCTGAACTGATTTCAATTTCGTACGCTGAATCCCCTGATGTCAAAATCTGATCAGTATCCATGATAAACTAGTTCGTGTGGAACTCGCGGATTATCGTTTTGTTGAACTTTCTCTATGTGCTAATGCTGTGACTGAACTGATTTTATATCGTCTCAGCTATACTGCAATCCTATGTAAATATTTTCACTGGCCACATGCTTGGGTCATACGTTGTTTTGACTGTGGCCAGTGTGTTGTCTCAGTACTATAAAGTTCTAAGTGTAGAACATTTTCTTATGTTAAATAACGCAGTCTTGACTGCTTCTATACATTGTCATCCTCCGTTACAAGCAAAGAAACTAAAAAAAATTAATGTCCCACCCATATAAATATTTTTTTCTGCCGTAGATTAAATAAGAAAATAGATGAATGACAGCATGATTTTCATGGGAACCGAACTACTGAGGGGAATACCTCAATTAACACCAACGGAGTCTTGTCTTGACATACTTTTCTTGGTGTTTGCAGAAAGGAAAGTGGCAGAACAATGATGCCTGTCTTGATGCATGGTGAATGTCTTCCTTTGCTTGTTTCTATTTAAAAGCGAATCATACACATAATACAAATAATTGAGCTTTTGTGAGAACAGAGAGGTAAGGGATTGAATTATTGAGAGCATGACCAGAGGACGAAATTCTGAGTTATCTGATCAGTAACAACTAGGTTAAAAACAAACAAGATTAAGAAATTGTAAGTATTTTTAGAAAAAAAAAAAGTTTTTCATAAATTTAAATTAATTTATATACACGTTAATTTACAGATTTTGTGTGTGTGTGTGTGTGTGGTTTTCTCGTATAATTAATCTAAAAATGATGGTAGCTGAATCACGGCCAAATTATGTTATTGTCACAAAGGAAGACGTTACTAGTTACAAAGATGAAAATTTAGACGGCATGCCATTTTCATTACAATGAATGACCTTCACTAGTCCTAATTGTTCTCACTAGGTCGGGAATTGTTATAGGCCATTTAGGTTCAGTTCAAATTATTAAAGGTAAACTGAAATTTTGAAAATGAAAAAACAATAAGAATCACAAAACTAAATCTTTTACTAATTCATTGAAACGAAATGTGTATAATTTTATTCATCAAATAAACTTCTCATTCATACGTACATAGAAGTAAATAAAAAGATCTATGACCTAATCACTATAGGCAGGTAAGATTTGATTTTTTTGTTTAAAAAAAAAAAAGTAAATAAATTATGTAAGACTTTTCTAAAACTCTGTTTAATTAAAAAGGTTAGGAGGAAATGAGTCGTTTAGAAACTTTTCAAATATAACAGGCCCATCTATCTATCTAAATTATATTTTTTATAATATTAAAAATTTAAAATTATTAAAATCATAAATCTATTTGCTTTTTAATATTAAAAGTGATGAGCTACTTAAAAGTTTGTGCTAATCAACCTATTAAAGGATAATTTAATGTATTTTTTTTTAAATCATGTATCCTGATTTGTTAAAATTTTAATAATTAAATTATTGAGAATTGGAAAATGTGACTATAGAGTTTTATGTTTGTTAAATTATTTGTGATTTTCTAAAAATTTTCTGGAATTAAAAAATAAAATAAAATATCCCGTAGGTTTTCCTTTTCTCTCATTTTTTCTCTTTCTTGAAGCTTGATTTTGAGAGGGAATTATTGATTTTTTTTTAGAATTTCCAAGAGGTAAATTTGTTTCTCTCAATCTCCTTTACATTTCTACGTTTTTATTTTTCAAAACGGTGCATTTTTAATTTTTATCCTCACTTGGCTGAGCTTGAATGGGAGTGAGAAGTGTTATTCTAGGTTTTACACCCATGACACTAAAATAATACTTAGAATTGAGGATTAGAAGTGATTAAGCTAAAAATCTTAAGAATCCTAATTCGTAGGTCAGTATTCATTGAATTCTGGGACTTGTGTAAACAGAATTAGGAATTAGTGTCTTCATAAAAGTTGTAGCCCTTTAAAATATCGAAATTTAGAAACTTGTTTCACATCAAACGGATATTTGTAACTCAAGTTATGTCCATTTTACTGTCAAGTGTTATAGCTGTGAAGTTAAGAGGTTGTCCTATTTCAACAGCCTCGTTTTTTGAATTACTGGGATTGATACATATGAAATTAGGACTTGATTCCTTCATAAAAGTTGTAGGAAATTATATTCCCAAAATTTAGAAATTTGTTTCACGTCAATAGCTTATGTGTAGAATGAGTTATAGCCAAATTACCAAGGCATGTTCAGAGTATTATTCTAGTTGAGCCATGTTGGAAACAACCATTGTAAACTGAAAAACTGCATTTATTCTACAGGGTATTTGAATTTATTTCCTTCATCAATATTGTAGGTAATTAAGTTATTGAAATTTTGGCTCAACCCTCATGCCAAAACAACTTATATAACTCTAGAAAATTCAGAAATACTGAACTCTGTCCATATTTGTTATTAGGATTCTTCCTACTCTAAGTGTATTACTTCTATTACTCTCTTCCACTTGTATTACTTCCATTAGCATCAATTTAGGCCCTAGAAATGATTTTATAACTCAAAGAACCATAGTCTTGAATTTTAGAATTTTAGGCTATGAAGGAGGTGAAATTTTAGAGGTCTAATATGGTTGGAATTAAGGATTTAATTGGGGTATTTAATTGACATGTAGGAGGCTACTTAGAGGTACAAAGATGAGACCCAAAGACTTGATAGATTATTTGATCAAGAGTTGTTTTTCACCAAGTTATAACATAAGGTAAGGGGTAGGATAATTTTTATAATTCACTTTTGCTTGAAATAATATTGAGAATAGGTTCTTTTACTTCTAAGTTAATTAGAAATTTATTTGAAATTATTTGAATGCTATTTCTATTTTTGATGAATTTTTTAAGTTTTAAGATTATGTGAATTTTATGGCATCTAAATGGAGCAACTTGAGTGTATGGAATCTTGTATGATTATAAGAAATTCATGAATGTTGTTTGAATCGATTGCTTAATCATTAGTAATTTTATATGACTTATTGATGAATTTAGATTGAAAATTATCCTATTTCTATGTTTAGTATTATGATAATTGTTTTAGATTGATTATTGAGATATATTGTATGTATGTTATGAAACATGATAAGTAGAAAATTATTGTGGAATGTTTTTGTTAAGATGGATTAACATGTAGAATTGCATTGTATAATTTGGTGGAATGGAGGAAAGGTGTGAGAAATAAACTATGTGAGAAAGAAAATTAATTTTTAAGATATATTAAATTGAATTTTATAATTTAATTATGAAATAAATTTTTATATTTTTATTTAATTAATAAATATTTTTCAAAAGTATTGGAATAATTTTGATTTAGGAGAAAACAATTAATTGTAAGTGAAAATAAATTTTTAATAATTTTGAGGAAATTATTTGCAATTATTATTATTATTTAAGAAAAATAAATTAAAATTGAGAAAATTATGATTTTGAGTGATGATGAATATGATGAGGTGGAAGGATGATTTGGTGAAAAGTAGAAGTGTTTTGGGCTATTTTTTATTATTTTGCAGGTGTTAATTTTTTTTTGGAATGTCCGATTTACAGGGAAACTCTATCGATTTTTTTAAGAAATAGCCTAGTATTATTTTGAAGAAGTTAAGATGTGATTTAAGTATAATGAGGTGAAACAAAATTGAAAGAGTGTGAGGAAGTTATGATAAGTCATGCATCATGTTCATGAGTCAGAGATTGAGTGTATGAGGAGGATATGGAAAATCAGGGTCGGTTCCATGCTAACCTCGGGGATGATTGAGTGTGATTGAGCTCATATGTGACTTAGGCTCGCTACCTAAGCTGTGAGACTCTCACTACCAAGCTTGATTATCCTGACTAAAGTCCTAGGGTTTCTCATGATCAGTTGAGCTAGACAAGTAATTATGAGTATACTACCGCGAGGCGGTGAGAGGTTCCAGTGAAACTCCTTATCCTTCTCGAAAAAAAAAACAAAAAGAGAAAAGAGAAAGTGGTTTTGGGGTCCCCATGGTATAGGATGTGTCCTAGAAAATATTAGTGGATACATTGCATTCATAATATCATATCATTTGTGTACAGATTGCTAGTATATTTGTTTGTGTAATTTCTAATTAACTCAATGTTATTTGCATGCTCTAAGTGAATATAAAGTTGTCTTACCCTTTTTGTGCATGTATTGATGTTATGGAATGTTTGCATATGTGACGTTGAACATAACTCATCCCCGATATCATCTCTAAGTAAAGTTTAAATACGATCGCTGCAAGTACTAAGTAGAAGACTTGATCAGACACCACTACAGTGCTACAAGAGATACTTCATTTTAGTGGATGTATGAAATATATCTCTTCTTTAGTTAGGTTGTATAGTTAGTTTGTCTGCTCTGGTCTTGTGAACCCTTGTTAAGTGTATTTTGGGATGACTTTGTGTATATTTACTATTTGGTTATACTTAATACTTATGAATTATATATATATATATATATATATATATATATATATATATTAATCACTAAGTGTATATTCTATTTATTGTGTACCTTACTTCTACAAGAGTATTGGTAATCAAATACTAAGAGGAACCAATAATAAGTAATAAATACTATTGTGACACCTTTAATACCAACATTCACTTTATTATTATTTATTACTTATTATTGGTTCCTCTTAGTATTTCATTATTAATACACTCTTGTATAAGTAAGGTGCACAATAAATAGAACATATACTTAGTGATTAATATACATATCATTCATAAGTATCAAGTATAACCAGATAGTAAATATACACAGTCATCCCAAAATACACCTAACAAGGGTTCACAAGACCAGAGCAGACAAACTAACTATACAACCTAACTAAAGAGGAGACATATTTCGTACGTCCACTCAAATGAAGTATCTCTTGTAGCACTGTAGTGATGTCCGATCAAGTCCTCTACTTAGTACTTACAACGATCGTATTTAAACTTTACTTGGAGATGATACTGGGGATGAGTTGTGTTCAACGTCACCTATGCA